GAATACCATAGGTATTATTGAATTACTGTTTGAACAGTTTAAAAAATGACATCATTTCTAGCTGAACTAAAATATTCTCAATTTTTGCAATTATACAGACTGCCATATATAATCAATCTTTCACGTCAGATCAATCTTTTTGAAATATAAATACATGGCTGTCCCACGATTACATGTATCAATGAAAACGTTTAATCTGGAGTAATTGTAACCAAACTTATATAATTGAAGACAAATAAAAGTGCCAGCATTTAGAAGAAAAAACATGATTAAGACTACGTAGCAGAAGTGCGTCAAAGTACAAAAATGCCCCAGTGTATGGTTTAAACTATCGTCACTGTTCCCTCGTTATTGAAAAACAATCTGCACCTTTCAAATACTCTATTCAGGAAGTTAAAGCGGTACGCTTTATTTCAACGTAATTAGTTGGTGTAACTTCGGTTCATATACAAATTCTAAGTAAGGCCAATTGGCGAGTTTATGTTTTGTTGTTTGTTTGCTTTCTCACAAAAAATACTCTTGAAATTCCTAATTTGTGCCAGGTTAATAAGCAGAGATGCTATCTGATAAATAACTACTCTCTTCTTTCCTAAATTCAGTGTTTTATCAACTAAAAGTTCATCTGAAACACAAAGATAGCTGAAACAAGACACCATATGACTTATCATTCTCCGGCTAAGAGATCCGACGTGTGTAGGTTCAATCTTTACTCGAGAAGATTTGTTTTTATCTTGATGCTGTCACAACCTTTCTTTGACATTGACAAGACATTCTAGTGATCTGGGTGACCTGTTACGGGCCTTTCGTATGCTGTTCTAGCATCATTAACTACTACAAGGAGACCCAAACCCCTAATCACTTGGCTGTTGACGGCAGGACAGACAACAATCACCTTAAGTTAGGTGAAGATCATGTCATTTAAGCCTTCCGGCGATGGTTATAATGGAAGACTGCATGCTTAATCAAACAGATATAATAGAACTCAAATTCTGAATAAAGGAAATACAAGTTTTCGCAACTCGCTGGATTAATCGTGCAATCCGTTATAACTACCTTCACCAAGATCATTAAGGGCAATTATTTGTTTTAGATTTAAAGATAACACGAATAATTGAGGTAATTGGATACCGTTATCATATATCTTTACACCAGACTTAATCCTGAACTTATTATTCAATCACCTTATCGAATATTATGAAAGTATAATTATTCTGTTATGATTAGGACATGTTGTACGTGAAACAGTGTTAATGGTTTGTTGTATCGATATAAACAAGCATTGCCTTTAACGCGAAACCAACCAGGAAGTAGTTCCCTGTACATTAATTATACACGTCATATCTGAATAAACATGTATTGGTTTGTTAGTAATTATCTATACACATGTAGTTGAAATTATAAGACATATGAATATTGTAAAATCTAAAGACAGTTCAGTTCTATTACACATCCCCATCTAGGTTTTGTCACTGTATCCATTTTAAAGCAGGAAGGTACCACTGCCTTGTGCGTCTCTTATACAATCTGATTTTCATACTGCTATGTTATCCGTAATATTCAAACATATATCTGACTTGAGTTGTGTGCTTCGGAGTAGTCCGTCAAGTCAAGATATTTCATGAAATTTCATCCAAATTGAATCAACAGAGTGGATATATTTTTAAAGATCTTTTTTGTCGAGAAATGTACTCAGGTTAAAGTATAAATATCAATTAAAACCAAACATTTGTTAACGTTTAAAACATAAGAAACATGCTACATTTTTATAGACAATACTTGGTATTTCTCACCTAGTAACATATCTATTGGTATTATATAGCCTTGTTAGTCGGGAATTCTCAATGAAATAGCAGACATAATATTTTCGTACATATATGTCCGTGTGACTTCATTGTTAATTCGACTGTCAGTTGTTTTACTTTTATATTTGTCTTGCTCTTGTTAGACTTTAACTTTTCCTTTTGATGTTTTGAAAGTTTACGTTTAGGTCCCTCATATATCTTTGACGAGACATAGAAGATCAAACAGGTGTATGGTGCAATTTGCTTCATCATTTGACTCTACAGTCTCTAATTCTTTATGTATTGAAGGATAGAAATCTCGGGTCTTTCGTAAAGCATTATGAATATTTATAGAACATTGTACATAATTGTAGCAACTTCTAATACACTTACTTTAAGAACGACTTAAATATATAGACCGTACAGTAACTCCTTACATTGAGTAGACCGTACACTAGCTCGTTACACTGAGTAGACAGTATACTATCTCCTTACTTTGAGTAGACCGTAAAAACGTTAGATTAGCATAATCATTCCATCTCATCAGTCGGTGAAAAAAAAAAAATTACTCAATTTCTCCGAGTGTCTTATACAAGATGTAAACAGGAAGTAAACGTTGGCTATTTTTCTGCCATTTAATATCTATAATTACAGGAAACGTACCTGCATGCGTATACAAAAGGTTATTCTACAGTTTACAAATAGAGTCAATGTTTGCTTTGTATTTATATACAAAGCTGCTAAAAAGTTATTTCTTTGTTATGTCTAACACTTACTAATACTCTAGATGACAATTATACATATGTATTTAGGTATATACGAGTATTTGAATATCTGCAGAAATAACTTGAATCTGTATATTATGATGATAATAGTTCCCGTTTCATCAAATTAATTTTTTTCTTGCAGTTTACACAAAGCGTGTTATGTAAGACCAAATGAAGTGGTAGAGCCAATGAAAAAACTATTTACTTATTTAACGCAAACATTGACTTTGTCGGACATTTGAGTTGTATACAATATGAACAAATAAACATTTTCGGAACATTTCCTACGTCCCAATGTTAGGCACTCTTCTAATAGCTATCAAAGTTACAGATGTTTCGACTGTTGGAACGTTCATGTTGACACTTTTGATCTAATTATACAAAATTGATCTTACAAAAATGTTGTAATTTCATTAATTAACTGCTCTTCCTTCTAGGAATTAGTATCCAGATATTTTCTGATACCTGCTTATTGACTTCTTTAAATGAAAATGAAAAAAAGTATATTGTCATAAAAACTCATAACCAGAACCGCTACATATATTACCTGAACACTAGGATAGATCTGGACTAAGCCTTATGATGAAAGACAACCACAAGGTAGGACATTCCAAGATATCGAACTCATTTACCTATGTTGACTGTGACCGTAATTAATTGATATGAAGCGTGATGCACTAATATAACCAGTAATTCATCTGTTCAAATCCTCTTTTTGTTTCCCTGCAATGCATATCACAACGATGCCTCGTGTTTTAATTTGTAGATCAATTATAATTGTTATTATTTAAACGATTGAAAGACAAACTATCACCGTAGATCAATCACCCTTGTTTGCCCGAAGGGAAGCGCTCTAGGTATTCCGATAATATCCATTTCCTTATCATTTTATATCAAACTTTTAACAATTCTACATCTACAACGAACGGCGTTTGCGTTTTCCAGTTAATATCTCAGTGATTTCATTGGAAAATTTTTGACAGCTGATAGATATACTTATAACAGGAGTAGAGGTATCCGAATTGATGACGTCTATGAGAACATGAAGTGGTTACCACCAATGGTTTCAATGTGAAATCATATTTCTATGTGATATAAAATTATGGGCTGATAAGTGGGATGTTTAACGCAATGCAAAATCTGATTTTTATCTAATCCTTATTAACACCTTATATTCCTCAGCTATACGTCCTAGCCAGTAATTGTAAATATTTCACATGACAATAATCAGCCATGCTTGACTGTGAAATTAACATTGAATTGAATAAATTCAAATTAAAGCTGCTCGTACTAATACTGGACTTAGGAAGGAACCACAAAATATACTGTTCAAAGAACACTTGGATGAGAAATTCTTAAAAGTCGTCGTTAAAACATGAACTGATTTTAATGTACTGTATTTCTCAGCACCTGAGACACATAGTTAATCTAATCATAAATGATACTGAAAACTTTTCTTATGATCTTCATAGAAAGCGATTGTTCCATCCTCTTCCTTGCACGCTTGAAAAATGTCTTAAGATGTTCTTCCAACAGTGCTTCGTGAATTTCGTTGATACCAATATAATCTATTATGGAGGAATATTTTCCTTTTTTTAGGTCAAGTCAAGGTCAAAGTAAAACAAATTAAAATAGGAGTAAATGCTGCAGTAAAAAGTTGTATTATATAGCGATGTGGAAAGAAGTATCGAGATTTGTACATGAATGTATAATTAAAACAACCAAACCAGCCAACACTTTCGAAAGGTAATTGCAGATTTTAAAATTTGATCAACTTATCAAATAATAAATGGAACAAAGATATCCTAAACTGGTAATGGATTATTATCCAATCGCCTCTGAACACTATTATAACTAACAAGCAATGATACATATAAAATATCTGAAAACCTACCATGAAGCCAGGATACCGAAAAATATGTTGTAGTAAATTCCTCTTCCTCAAAAAGCCTGTGATCATTCTTTCAAAAATAATTGATAATATAATAAACATATATAGGTATATAATTAAGTGTATGGTAGTCCAGTTGTCACAACAGACTCTGAATCTTATTTAGGGTAGGTACAAACCCACGTTTGCATAAAAGAATCGTATCAATTGAAATCTGATCTACATCTAAACGTTTTTAATAAAAAAAGTCTTTGTTACTAACAGATCGATAATATTATCAACTCTTTAGTATGTCTTTCCACCACGGCGTTCCAAGACTTTTTTGTCAGCAATGACAAAAGGAATCCATTGTGATCAATATGGATATCTTACGAATCTTCAAATCGGATTTTGTGACGCTGATTCTTCGGCTACACAAATAAAATATTAGAGTATTAAAATCTGGTTGAAATTATGTAGATGTTCTATATATACATATATATATATATATAACTGACCCTAAAAGTACCATGGGTACCATATACGTATTCAATGTATTTTGTAAATATATCAAGGTAACAGTTACATGTACAAAATGTAACTTTGTTCTTTACTGTAATCAGAATTCTTCGGTATGGTGTTGGCGCCACTCGTGTTCCCTTTATCTTTTACCATAGAGGCTGCCTGACCTTCTTTCATCTTGTCAGATTTCTTCTTCCGGCAATCTGAAGCAATATGTCCAACCTTTTTGCAATAGAAACAAGTCCTCTCCTTGGGCAAGGCGCTTGAACCAATTGTAGATTTCCCAGGTGTAGAACTTGTTGACGGCGAATGTCCTGAAGCTGTTGCCTTATGACTTCCTGCCTTGGTTCCCTTAGAAGATATCAAGTTTGCCGCTTTCGTTCTTCTTGCCTCTACATATTGATCGGCCAGTCTGGACATTGCATCAAGGGACACGGGAATCCGTTCCTTCAGGAACAACATCAGATCCTGGTTACATACCTGTAAAAACTGATCTCTCAAAAACAAGTCTTTCAAGCCTTCATAGGTCTTGTTAGTGTCGGCTAGTTCGACCCATCTCTCCAAGTAGTTTTCAAGGCGAATGGAAAACTGTGAAAATGTTTCACTTCCATCGGGTCTTGATGTTCGGAAGCTTTTCCTGAATCCTTCCCCTGTCATATCAAATCTCCTCAGTAATGCCTTCTTAAGTTCGTCGAAATCCAGAGACTGATGGACTGGTAAACGAGAAAACACCGCTAATGCATTACCCGTCAAAAGAGCGCTAAGGTTAGCTCCCCATCCATCACGTTCCCAATTCTGTACCGTTGCGTACCGTTCGAAGCGCTGGATGTAAGCATCGATGTTGTCCTTTTCTTCATTGAAGGCAGGTAACTTGGGACCCTTCTTTATTGTATCTCTAGGATTGGTCTCCCTCCGACGTCCCGATTTGTCCCATTCAGATTGATACTCCTGTTCTGCACGAATTAATTCCATTTTGCGTTTATGTTCTTCTTCTGCTCTCCTGTCAGCCCGAGCCTCTCTTTCCTCTTCCATTTGCCTTTGCATCTTTTTCTCTTCCCTTTCTCTTTCACGGTCATCTCTTTCCTTGGCTTGCTGCTCTTGAATGAACAATCGTAGTTGGTCGCCTTCAAGTTGAAGTCGCTTACCTGCTTCCAAAATTGCTGAAAGAGAGGACATTTTCAAAACAACTAAATCACTAGACTGCAAGAGATAACCAACACATACAATATTCAATACAACCAGGCATAAGAACTTACCGGAAGTCATGCGTCATCCTTGCTTAGGCCAATTAACTCACCTCAGAGTTCCTGTATAGAGTCCCCAAATGCCAACGTTAAGAAGAAAATGAAAGTAAAGGAAATTTGGCGGGAATCTGTCAAACAATCTAGACTTTGAAACCAATCAAACAGGATTCTATTCCCGAACAACTAACTTTGGCTAATCCCACCGCTGCCACCATGTTGTTAACGTGGAACGAGCGTCGGTCAGCGATCCGGGGAATGAACACCGAAAAGATTGATTGCAATGACAAATGTTTATTTACAATGATGACAATAAAGAGATTAAATTTAAAAAAAACCTATAATACCCACACGTCACACTCACTAATTCACTCATTCACAAACACAATTATTACAAGTTACAGTCTGTAGCTACACACACAACGACGAATGGGATCCTGGTACAGTTCCGGTGCAAGACAGTCGCTAACCTGCAACCACGCTCAATCCAGAGCCAAGAGGTATAAACACATCAAGCAGCACCATGCTTGCTTGAAACGCCCAAATTGGCAAACTCACTAGTGTCCAAGACACGACAGGAAAACTGGGAGGTACACACTAGTGTCCTTGACACGACAGCCATCCCAATAGTAGATATACTGTGACTCAGCCTCCAAGCAAGTCGCTGACCCTGGCCTACGTAACGACCCAACACATGTATTCCATGCTGACCTAGACCCTGGCGAAGAGAACTTATCCGGTCGGACCTGACGCTGGAGTCACAATGAGTTGGCACAGCTGACTGGTCCTGGCTTGATAGCTGAGAATCCTAGTCCGTTATGTGAAGCTACAATAATACATAGTGGAAAATAATGCTGTAGTCACACAGATTCACTCTCACCTGGCATACTAATTAACTAATAATTAATTATCAATAATATAAATATTCATTAATATATTGTAAATATACGTAAATCAATATAATAAAGATAAAGGGATAAGTGTGCGGCTCCAAATGGCTATAAAAACACGACTAAGCACAATTCATAGAAGTTGGCGTCTCACGGCTTCCATACTTTTTTACCCAGTGCGCGTACACACTCCAACTAACGCTATAGCTCTAGCTCAGAGCTTCCATAGAATTTTAAAACGGACAAGAACCCTATATTTATTAAATAATTCTACACACAACAATCTATTATGTTTATATTATATAAATACACCAGAAATCAATAGGAAGTATGAAATTAAAATGATATAGCAGAAACACACCACAAAACAAGTGTACTACATGTATCAACAATAGTTACGCATGATTGGAGCGCACCGACACCTCGATTGCTTGACCCGATAGATTTGACGGCATGGATAAAATAATGCCAGAAAAAAACATATGGAAACGGAAGAAAGAAACATAACTTACCACAGTCTGTCGTCTGTGCCTTGTTCACAATATCGGAAACAGCTATATTTACATATCGGCTACACGAACTCACAAAACTGTGAACCGTAAACAAGTGTCCATTCCGTGCACAACCGGTCAAGCCCGTGACGTATATCCGCCCAGTGGTGCGGACAATTAAGAGTCCTTACACCGCAAAACAAACTCAAATTAAAACTTACCATTTATAGACAAACTATACATGCTTACGTGACAGTTTTCCCCCTGCTTTCGAAGAAAGTGGATACACTTTCTCATACTCACGGAACATGTATTCCTAGATTCTGCTCAAATAGTCCGCTCCAACGTTGTCGGAACCCTTGATGGCACGAATCCTCAATCTGTATGGCTGTAGGAGTAACGCCCATCTCATAAGTCTGGCATTCGCAGTTTTTGATCTGTGCAAGTAAGTTAATGGGTGATGGTCCGTCTCAAGGATAAACTCTTTCCCATAGATGTAAGGTTCAAACTTCTGGACTGCCCAGACAATTGCCAAACATTCCTTTTCTATAATTGCGTAGTTCTTTTCCCTGGCAAGTAACTTCCTGCTGGCGTAGGCGACAGGCATTTTCTGTCCGTTTTCTTCCTGCAGCAGCACAGCACCCAAGCCAGTATCCGATGCGTCTGTTCGGAGAATGAACTGTTGCTCCAAATTTGGAAGTCTGAGCACCGGTTTAGCTGTTAGCATGTTCTTGAGAGTAGAGAATGCCTTATCGTGCACTTCGCTCCAAAGAACTTTATTTGGACATCCCTTCTTCGTCAGATCAGTCAAGGGGGCGGCAACTGCTGCGAAATTAGGAATGAAACGCCGATAGAATCCGGCCAACCCCAAAAAAGAGCGAACTTGTTTCTTTGTCTCTGGTCTCTCTGCGTTTTTGATGGCCGTCACTTTCGACTCTTCCAATTCCAATTTTCCATCACCAACAATGTGACCCAAACAAGTCAAACTGGAAAATCCAATCGAGCATTTTGTTGGTCTTGCTGTTAGCACTGCTGCTCGAAGCCTTGCAAAAAGATCGCGAAGTACTTCCATATGTTCTTCCCATGTGTCTGTGTAAATCAATATGTCGTCGATGAAGTTATCGATGTGTTCCATACCAACTAAAAGTTTCCTCATCAGCCTACTAAATGTTGCCGGGGCATTTACTAAGCCAAACGGCATTACCTTAAACTGGAAAAGGCCTTGTGGAGTTGAAAAGGCTGTCATCTCTTTTGCGTCTTCCGAGAGCGGCACCTGCCAATAGCCTTTACTGAGATCCAGTTTGGAGAAGTATCTTGCACCCGCTACCCGAGAGAAAATATCATCTGTGTTTGGCATCGGCTCGGCATCAAATACCGTGACTCGATTTAGTCTCCTGAAATCAATGCAAAAACGATTCGTCCCCTCCTTTTTCTTGACCATTACAACAGGAGCCGAGTATGGGGATGATGATGGCTCGATAACGTCCATATCCAACATCTTCTGCACCTCTTCTTTGATCACCTCCTTGGTAATATAAGGCAAGGGGTATTGTTTCACATGAACGGGAGCATCGGTAGTAGTCCTGATCTCATGTTGGGCGAGATTTGTCCGGCCTGGAAGATCAGTTAGCACATCTGTATAACTGTCCATGAGCTCCTTCACTTCATCTGCTTGTGCATTGTTCAGGCCTCCAGAGATTTCAACATCTTCAACATGTTCCTTTCCCCTATCACTAGGAAGGGACTCCAGTCTGCTGGGAAAATCCGCGTCCCCCTGAATCTCCTCACCATCAGCAACAACACTTGCTATAGTGTTTGCGAGAATTCCCTCAGTATCTTCCGCAACATTGTCCACTGGCTTCATGTACTTTTTCAACAGGTTAATATGTAGAGTCTTGATTTTACCGTCCCTGTTCACACGATAGTCGAACGGTCCGACTTTCTCTACAACTTCGTATGGGCCACGCCATTGCATCAGTAACTTGTTAGCTTTTGTCGGCAGAAGCACTAACACTTTGTCGCCTGGTCGTAGCTCCCGTGACTTGGCTCTCCTGTTGAAGTTCCTTCTCTGAACTCGCTTGGCATCCTTCAAGTGATCCATTGCAACTTGGCATGTCTCCTCCATCCGATCCCTCAAATCCATTACATACTGATAAGTCGTTTTGACGTCGTCATCTGGAATCTCTTTCGTTAGCAGTTCTTTCAGAATCATCATCGGTCCACGTATCGCTCTGCCGTACAATAGTTCAAAGGGTGAAAACCCCAAGCTTTCTTGCGGCACCTCCCTATAAGCGAACAAGAGGGCATTGATGTATCTATCCCAGTCCTTGGGTTTCTCAGCGGCCATTTTCCTTAGCATCTGTTTCAGTGTACCATTGAAACGCTCGACTAACCCGTTGCATTGAGGATGATATGGCGTTGTCGTTAGTTGGCGGATCGACAATAGTCTGCTCACTTCCTTCATTAATCCAGAGGTAAACTGGGCCCCTTGATCGGACAACATCTCACTGGGTACTCCAACACGGCTGAAGATATCAACCAGTGCCTCTGCAACGCGCTCAGTCTCAATGCTTCTAAGTGCTACTGCCTCCGGATATCTAGTCGCGAAATCCACTACTGTCAGTATAAACCGGTTGCCACGGTCTGTTGCAGGTTCGAGAGGACCAACTAAATCCACCGCTATCCTCTTGAAAGGCGTATCGATCAATGGCATACTGCCGAGTGGCGCTTTCGGTACTCGGCCTTTAGGGAAGGTACGTTGGCACACATCACACGAACGACAGAACCGAGTCACATCGCCCTGCAGACCAGGCCAAAAAAACTCTGCAAGAATCCTGTTAGTCGTTCGTTTTGCTGCCAGATGTCCCGACATAATCGACTCGTGAGCTAGTTTCATTATCATCTGTCGATACTTCGTTGGTACGACTAATTGTCTAAACACCTTTCCAGTTGCAATCCCAGGGCTTCTGAACTCTCGATATATTAATCCCTTGTGGTAAAACAGGGAAGACTTACCCCCATCATCGCGTTCATACGTATCCGATTCCTTTGCCAACTTACGGAACTTCTCCAGGGTACCATCGCTTTGCTGTTCCTCCTTCATCTCCTTCACACTACCTAAACTCGTCATAAACTCCGATACCTGCAACGGTTTCAACGGCTTAGCTTTCCTCTTGACCTCCGCTCTCGTCTGAACCGCATTCAACGAATCAAGCTGCCACTTCTCATCTGGTTGTCCTACCGGAAGGGCATCCTTAACATTTCCAATAATCACATCGTACAAGGGTGACTCTAACAAGAAGGCTTCAGTATCTCCGTTAAAATATGGCGTGTTGATCTGTACGTTGGCGATTTGGCATACAAGACGAGAACCATCAGCTAAAATGTAAGTCTTGGTCTTGTCGGTGATATTCTCAGGTTCAACGAGACTACGTCTCACTCCTACCTCATCACAACCCGAATCCCGAAGAACGGTGACAACTTTACCGCCCACACGTCCCAGCACCACCGGCATGGAAGTTGTCTCCTTTGTATTGCAGGCGACACTCATCTTCGGTATGGTGTTGGCGCCACTCGTGTTCCCTTTATCTTTTACCATAGAGGCTGCCTGACCTTCTTTCATCTTGTCAGATTTCTTCTTCCGGCAATCTGAAGCAATATGTCCAACCTTTTTGCAATAGAAACAAGTCCTCTCCTTGGGCAAGTCGCTTGAACCAATTGTAGATTTCCCAGGTGTAGAACTTGTTGACGGCGAATGTCCTGAAGCTGTTGCCTTATGACTTCCTGCCTTGGTTCCCTTAGAAGATATCAAGTTTGCCGCTTTCGTTCTTCTTGCCT